GAAAATATGCTTGTAGATGCGTTTGGCGATAGGCTGCGGCCGGGCGGTTACGCACATACGTGGCGATCTTTTAAAATTAATATCTCTAGAACTTTTCGACTAAATTTAGTTTGCTCTACTTGCTCACGAGAAGTGATCCGGTCATTACTGGACACAGTGTGTGACAACACCTATATACATGTATGTACGTACATATCTAATTTTAAAAACCAGTTTACATATGAAATTTTAAAAACCAGTTTACATATGAAATTATAAAATGAGATTTGAGAAACTAAAAAATGATGAGTATTGACAAAATTTATCATTAATATCTATTTCAGAAAGAGGCTGAAAAATAATTAAAAATTAAAATGTCGATAATTTGAGCGATGCTTGGCACTGAACGTCGTTAAACATTAATCTCCGTTTATGTTGCCAAATATATTTGATCAAATCTATCATTTAAATTACCTAAGTACTAAAAAACAATGGAAAAAATAATTTAGGAATGTCAAACTATTCTGTTGTATTGTTATTTCTCTTTAATTATTTGTTAATATTAAAAATCACTTTTCTAATGTAAAATAATGTCAATTCTATCACATTAGCGCTGCTTAGTTTCGGCATGCACTCGTATATTTTCATATGTGTTACTCTCTATCTAGAATAACAACAAACATGTCTTCAAAATGATTTGTCATTTTTTGAAAAAGAGGGAAAGCTTCAATTTACGATTTTAAATATATTTCCTAAACGGTAAACTGAAATAGTAAAAAATAATCCATTATCTTTAGTTTACTTAAAAAAATGTGTCTAATGCTAATATATATTTTTATATATAATAAATCTCATTATTTATAAATTTCTAAAAATCGTAAAGTTATATACAATAATTATAATATTCATTATTTACTTGACAAAGTATCGATAGAAACTTATGTACAATGGTTACCTATTGACCATTTCCTGAATTATTTTGGGGTAATTTTGCTGCCGATTGACTCAATTGCGCCAATGTTTCTGGAGTTGCATGTGCTTTTAAGATTGAGTTTTCTGCTTCCAATTGATTGATACGATCCATAAGCTCAGCTATTTTCTCTTTTAATACCTCGACTTCTTCCCGTACCGCGAACATTAAATGACTTTTAACTAAATCCTAGAAAAGATTATAATACAGTTTATCATCCATTAAAGTAATGAGCAGTAATGTCTATTACAGCAATTTCTTACCATAGCTTGCTCGATCTTGTTATCAATCGCCACTGCACTTGTCCCCGGTATACTGCAATGTACGTGTAATGTTCATATAAACTTATTCAATTATTAAACATACAATAAAAAAAATTAGATGATGAAAATAGCAGTAGAAAAAGTGATACAGATTTGTTATATATTATAATCAAATATGATTTATTCGTTTATTTAAATAGATTAATTTCTTTACAACTATTATATCTCTATATTTAATACCTTTCGTTATCTTCGAGAGTACGGTGCTCGTCGCTGCCCTGCGTAACCTCGGCTAATGATTCGAGGAGAGTCGTATCGGCCGACTGAATGGTAGTAGTGTTAGCAACGATACCAGAGATGGATTCTTGTTCCGGGTCGGACTGATGGAACGTCATGTTTCCCTGCTGTTGCAGGCCGCCGACAGCACTCTGACAACCGGCCGTCATTTGTGTGATCTGTACCGGGGCATTACCATTAGTCGTTTGCGGCTGCAACTGCTGCGTCGAGGGTGCAATCGCTTGTGACTGCTGTGGCGCTCCAGCCGTCTTGTGAATACTTTGTATACTTTGTATCCCTTGTATGGCAGTCAATGGCTCGGAAATTTGTGTCATTTGTGGCTGCTGCGTCGCCAAAGGCTGCTGGCAGGGAGCCGCTTCCGACTGTTGATGCTGCGTGACGAGAATGTTTGGAGCCTGAGAGGTCGGAGCTGATGTTTGTTGCACCGTCGATTGACAGACATTCTGGACTGGTAAGGATTGATTCTGCGTGCTCACCGTTACATAAGCTTCTTCCTTGGAGTGAGGTATACTTGGCTGGGGAGTTACTGTACTATTACTAGTGATAATGGGGATAGATCCTTGAGGCATACTCTGAGGAGGTTGCCCCAAGTTGTTGGGATGAGTAGCCTGTAAATTGGAAGGCAACGTAGAACCTTGGGTGCCCTGCTGATGTTGCTGATGTTGTTGATGTTGTTGTTGTTGCTGTGTAGTTATTGGCTGAGTCTGAGATTGAAAATATTGCGGAATTTGCTGCTGCGCTTTAGCCTGGGTCTGTGTAGGATTATGCTGTACATTGGGAGATATTGAATTATTCACCGCATAGTTCGCACTCGATGCCGATTGCGTGGGATTATTTGACACAGCGATCGACGAGTGCACTGTATCTGGTCCATTAGCATCAATATTAATCCCTTTATCATCAGTCACTGTCACTACAGATTGCTTCGCAGTCTCTGGTATAACAATCCCACTGTCAGTCACGCCATACGATATGCACACCTCGTTTGGATCAGATACTTTTGGTGTGCCGATGGCCATCGGCTGATTAACGGATGTATGGTCGAGGTAATCCATACAGGTCCACCGTCCTCTTTTGAAGGGTTCCGTGCTCTCAATCTTCACCACTTTGAACCTCTCGTTTCTACCATGCGAGTGAACCTCACGCAGATCCGCGTCCTGCTTGTCAGTGACAGACGTAATGTCCAGGGTATTAATATTGCTATCGTTAACTGAATTACTAATATTGCCGCCCTCAGACGGCACGATGGCCAGGCCGTATTGCGAGCTGGTAGGGATCACCGGGGCTGTGCTGAGAGCGGCGTTGCTTGTGTTGAAGAACACATCCTCTTTGGAAAAGGTGTCCTCAGAGTAGCTTGGCGTCTCGATGTCGAGATCGGTAATGCGTGAGTGTTCAACGGAATTGTCCTCGGTATGCGACTCGTCCAGGTCGTCGTTGGAATCCTCGCCGGCATCATTGCTCATGCGGCAACCTACGGTGACGCTAGTTATCTGGAACGACGACGTTTTCTTCCGATTGCCACTCGGGGCCTGCACACCGCTGCTCGGTACTACAACCGGCTGATGATGCCTGTCTACCTCACCGAGACGTATCGTCTCCGTGGTCGTGCGATGCACGGGATTCGACACTTTCCTGCTACCATCTGACAGCCTGTGCGATTTTCTGTGCACATTGTCTGCCATTATTATGACAACTTAACGTACGAGAGACACGATTATTGCATCCGTCCTCTCGCATGTTAGAATCAACATTGTCGTGCACTTTTCCAGATATTTCTCTCTCCTTCTCTCTCTGTCTCTCTTTCTTCTCCCTTTCTCCTTCTATCGCTCTCTCTCTCTCTCTCTCTTTTTCTTTCTTTCTCTGTCTCTACCTCCTTATCTCGCCGATTCGACTTCACCGCGACCGATCGCTCTCGCTCCTGCGGAAAATACGAGACAAGCACTCAATGGCATATTTCGTGCACCAATGAATGTTGACAGTTGACCATTGCATTAATCCCACGAGGAACAAGTACGTTTACTCGAGCGACGTCCGTCCGTTTAGTAAGACAAGGAAGACTGTGCTAGTTGCTAGCTTCTGCTTGCTTGCTTGTCCGCTGACGACGACGGCTCCGTCGTCACGTTACACATTACACACGCACGCACGCGCGTACACATAGCACATAGCACATAGCACACATCACACACATACACACTCTCTCTTTCTCTCTTTCTCTTTGTCGCAAGCCCTGTCCTTGCTCCTCCATATTACAATCACGCCTCACTTAATCTTACCGTCTCGTAAAGCCTATTGTCCGTACTGTCCATACCCTTTTTCTACACTGACCCCTTTTACACCGAGTACTCGGTACGTGTATTAACTAGTAACTTTCTAATAAATTATCTTAATTTTAACAATGTATTTAAAGATTGATGTATACTAGATTGATACATTAGTATTAAAATGATTAATTAAATACATATATCATGTGTATGCTTACACGTATCGCCGAAATGAAGATAATTCAATAGAAAGTTACTAGTTAGTAATATGAAAGGGATAACATAGTAGTGCAGTTGGACAGTGGCTGCGTTTCCATTTCGTTTCAGTCCAGTAGCCGCCATTTTGCTGGATATTGTACTAGCTAATACGGTGGCAAAATTCTAATCCAACTAGCAATCCAACAGGAAAACAAGTATCATGTAATCTAATTAGTAATCCAGCAGGAAAATAAGCATGTGTGCCACCGGCTTTAATCTCTGTTCTCTCTGTCTATGGATCGTTCATAAGGAAGAAACTATCATCTATGAAAGGCTAAGAGACACAGATTTTTGCATAACGCATAAAGCTGCTTCTACATTAGTTGCAAGCCGATCTCAAGTTTGTTGCGACAGCCAATATGAAGCGTTGATTTCAAAGTGCAAGCTTCAGATTGGCTGTCACAACAAACTTGCGCTCGGCTTGCAACTAATGTAGAGCCGGCTTAACGCATAGTACATAAAAGAATCAACCAATCAAAGTTCTTCTTTTTCGCAAAGTGGAAGGAATGGAAGGAATCAGATTGGTTGGTGGATTTGTTTATGCACTATGCATTATGCGTTAAGCAAAAGTCTGTAATACGGTTTAAAAAAAAAACATGGAACATGGTATTTATAATCCGCTTTTATTTTAAAACTGTTTTATTAAATGGCTGCGTTTAGCGGACTCAACAGATGAGCGCTCGCTGCTATTGATGTATTCTTCCAGATCTAAAATACTGATTGGATGATCTAAAAGAATAACCAATAACAGCAAGCGCTTATTCAATTGTTGAGTTTGCTGAACGCAGCCAATGGCTGTTAGTTCTAGCATCGCAGCCAATACGATGGCAAGATTCTAATCCAGCTAGCAATCCAGCAGGAAAACAAGCATCGTGTGCCGCAATCTTTAGCGGCACACGATGCTTTTCTGTCGCGTCGTTTTGTGTAGTTTTTGCACTCGGCATCTTCACTTTTTCTCTTTTCAATGCCCAAATATGTCTATCTCATTTTAAGTTCAAAAATTTTTGAGGATTTTAAACAATGCGAACAGACCTATCCTTACCATGCTGCGACTCCATGTGACTCGTAAGATCCAAACAGAGACCTTGAAAAGAACTACAAGTTATCTATATATCTTTACATTTTGAAGAAATTTACGAAAATGTTAAGTGCAGGAAGTAACTGGTTCATGCAAGTCACAAGGCGTGCTAAAAATTTGCACCTAGACAGCAAGACATCCATACCTTTGAAGCCTGAGCTTAAAACTTTACCAAGTTAGAAAATGTTTCTGCTAGATATTACTTATATTAACATTAAATTGACAGATTACTTACATAAAATCACGTGGATTATAGTTTTTCAGTATCCGATAAGCCGAGAGAACGATCGTAGAGTATATGTGTGGGGTCTTGCGGAGCATGGTGCTCTTGGAGAACCACGAGCATTGAAAAAGAACAGAATCTCATACCTTTCAAAACCAAAAAGACTGTCTTTTGCTGAGCAACATAGGGTGACAGATATTGCTTGTGGTTATGGTTTTACGGCTTATGCTGTACATTCTTCAGATAAGAATATTGTCTATGGGTCTGGCATAAATACAGATTCACAACTTGGTAACTAAAGATCTATTTTAATTTTATCAATATTATAAAGCCTTCATTAAAAACAAACTTTAATTTTAAAAGTTATACTATAGCTTAATTTTTCTATAACAGGTTACAATCTCGATGAGAAGTTTCTCAATATGATATTTATTCCAAAGCCAATAACTTTACCATTACAGAATGCCTCGACTAAAATTATAGGCATGGCTGCTGGAAGAGCGCATTTATTAATATTAACAACAGAAGGTTTGTTCACATTAGGTAATAATGCATATGGTCAATGTGGTAGACCAATTATATTGAATGAAAATTACGAAAAAAGTACAGCTGTGCATCGTATACCTGACATTAAAGGAAATAAAATTGTTGCAGTGACAGCTGGTCAAGATCACAGGTATAAAATATCAATTGAATATTATGCAATCATATTATAATTCTCTTTCCAGTATTTTCTTATTAACATTATATAATAGTATACTTTTGACAGAGACAGGTGAAGTGTATACATTTGGCTGGGGTGCTGATGGACAAACAGGTCTTGCACACTATCAAAATGAACATCGACCAAGTTTAGTCAAGGGTGACCTGGCAGGACAGCGTATAATCAAAGTTGCCTGTGCTGCTGATTGTGTATTAGCTCTTAGTGGTATGTAACTATGAAATGCAACATATAGACCAAGTATTTGTATAAATTCTGAAATACAATGGGTGTAGTAAGCTTTAAACCTTAAGGAATTAATTAGTCACAATCGAATGTTAGAAGAATATTTAGCTATGATTGGTCAATTTCTTAAGACTTACTACATCTATTATATTTTCGTATAATAGATATTAACATAATTAAAATATTTCTAACACAGATAAAGGGAAAGTGTATGGCTGGGGTAATTCAGAATATAGTCAATTATCAACCAGAGAAGATAATTATCAAGTAAACATTGCTACAGAATTACATACACAAGAATTAGGATATATAATAGACATAGCAGCAGGTGGATGTTTTTGTATGGTTTTAAACAGTAAGCACCAAAACTCATAATAATTTTAATTTAACAGTTTTATTTTAATAATTACTATTTATGGTTTTTATTTAATAATTGTTTTTGTTTTAAGAATTTTTTGTATTTATTTCTGTCATGCTTATATATTTCTAATTTTAGCTAATACATTTTATATATTATATATATTTTACATATTAACTAATATATTATGTTACAGATGATGGTAATGTCTTTGTATGGGGATACGGTATACTTGGTCTTGGACCTCAAGTGCAAAAAGTATTAAAACCAACCATGATTCCTCCTACATTGTTTGGCAATAATGTGTACAATTATAATGTCAAGGTAATTAAAATAATTTAAATTTATTAAAAAAATCTTTTCAATCCGAAAGTCTTTTGTGAACATATTCATGAACTATACATCACACATTGCTAGGTAACAAATATATACTGTGGAATCAATCAACTGGCAGCGCTAACCAACATAGGAGATTTATATATGTGGGGTTGTAATAGATTTGGGTCTTTGGGATTAGGGCATGTGAAGGATCAATTTTTTCCCTTAAAGGTAAACGTAAAATATATTTTACAAATAAAATGTGAATAAAAGATGCATGCGTGCGTCTGTATAATGATAGTTTTTTGTCTGCAACAATTTGTTTTCTTGTAACAGGTTGCAGTAGGAGCTCAAGTGAGAAAGGTTGCCTGTGGAGTGGATCATACAGTGACTCTTTGTAAACCTTTTATTTAAAGAAGCAACATCATTATTTAAATATTAGTTTATTTATTTAATTAAGTTTCATAATATTTTCTATTTTGAAACTTTCAGCGTCATCAATACATATGAATAAAATGATTACAAAATATCTCATTTATGTTTATCGAATAATAAAAAGGCAGTATTAAGTAATATTTACAACTCTAATTGAAATTTGAGGAATGTTGAATTTCACTAATATGATTTTGTTAAAAAAAAGATAATATTTGCAATCTCTATATCTTTTATATTTTTTATTACAAAAATGTATATATCATACTTATGACTAAAACGAAGATGTTCAACATATTTATGTTTGCATTACTTTCACATACCAAATTCTCATAGGAAATGGTGTATTTGATCATATGAGGAAATCTGCACTCATCTGGACCTAAAGAAATAGAATATTAGATGATTTATAAGAAAAGACATTACGTTTTTATAAGATAATGTATATAAATATATATGTATTTTGTGTGTGTGTGTGTGTGCGCGCGCGCACGCGCGCGTGCGCGTGTGTATTTAAGAGTACATATATAAAAAAAAAAATGGGTATATTCAGTGCTACACCAGGGCACCTAATGATTTCGATCGGAATTATTCAATTATAGATTTTAAATCTAGATTTCTATTGTGTTTCCTAGGGAAAACGGAATAATTCCGATCGGAATTCATTTTGAAATGTTTCATAATAGATACCCTGCTCAGTGAGCGTTCAGTGTCTCAGTGAGCGGTTGTACTGGATGCATCCATTGTGACATATTAACAGTTACTATATATATTAAATTTTAAATTTAAATATATAATTTTTTTGTGTTTACCATATTTAAAATTTGTAGTTGAAGAATTGGCAATGATTAAGAGATACAACGGATTGCAAAAATGTATCAAACCAGCATCACCGCAGGAAAATTCAATAGTATGTGCATTATTATTTATTGATACACAGTCATTTGTCTCATTAATAATTTGAAAACTTCGTGATTTACATACTTTTAGATTATCATCACTTTGAATCTAAAGAGATATTTATTCATTAAAAAAGATATTTATTAAAAAAGAAAATATGTTCAATATTTTTTGTGTATGAAAAGTTTTACCGTTATCTTAGAAACATGATCGCTTTGGGTAGAAAAGAAATAATTAGGATGCATTCTGTAAGAAACTGTCGTATTCGGTTCAATGTAATCGATAAATGAATTCGAGTTTCCAATAATAGTATAATTGTCTCCACATTGTGTATTGATCAACCGCTGTGGAACTATAACGACAAAATGAAATATTTGTAAAATTATATAGATTTATATTTCAAAGGAAACGATCTGATCTATACATACCTTGTTTTATCCTCGAAATTAATTTAGTAATTGTCGCTGAACTTCCTATATCGCTTGTAGCAGTTATGGCAAACAAATCAGTTGATGATAAAAGTTCTGTCCATCTATCTATCGATCCATAAGTCAACATAAGTAATGTGACATCTGCAATAATATCGATAATGAAGCCTCATTCACTTTATGTGAATCATTTTTACATTGTGGGAATTTTATTTTTCTGGAAGATTTCGCAAAATTTCCTGACTTTTCCATGATGACTTTCCTGATGATTTTCAAATTTCCTGACTTTTTCCTGATTTCTCTGATTTTTAATTTTATGACAATTCTAGATTTGTAGTAAACAACTTTCCGCGTCTAGCATCCACAACTGATCAAGAAACACACAAAAGTCAACAAGAAATCAAAATAATGTTAAAATAACTTTATTTTGATGCTTAAAGTTAATAAGCAGTCAAATTTTGTAACCAAGTCATTATTTTGTTATCAGAGAAAGTCAAAGTACACTTTCTCTTTAACTACTTATAATAGGGTGTGTTCCTTGGATGGTCGTGTATTTGGTGGTAGGTTAGGCGAATACATGCTCATTTGACGATCTTTACAAATTAATATTTCGTTAACTGTTGTGAAAATTGCAAAATAGTAGATAACTTTTCAATTCAGGGAATCGAATTGTTTATCTTGAAACAAGGTAAAAATTGCACAAAAATGAGCAAATACTTAGGTGTTGATCTGAATGATCAACGATCAAATATTAGATGATGAAATTGCTAATATTTTAGAATTTGCTCACTTTTTTGTAATTTTCATCTCATTTCAAGATATACAGGGTGTTTCTTAAATAATGCCACTAATCATACAATGCTATCCTTAATAAAAAACTAAATCGAAAAGTCCTCTACCATTTTGCAATTTTTGCAATATTTTTTCTTAGTTATCTCCTGAGCAAAATATCTAAAATCGACAACTTTTAAAATATCTTTAAGAGTTCTTTAAGAAACATCTTCAAAATATTTTACAAAGAACATTGAACAATACCTTAAAATTGTCTTATGCACCGATTATATCCATTTATTCAACAACTTTTAGAAATTAATATCTCGTTAACTATTGCGATTCAGTTTTTTATTATGATTAATGGGCGTTATTTAAGAACACACCCTATAATCGATCCCCAATTTAATACGTTCTACTTGTTCGTGAAAGATGATACCGTTATTCTGGGACATCCAGGACATTGTATAGATAATAATTGCAACTGGTAGTTTTTATAGGAAGTAATTTACCCGGCACTTGCTCTCGCATTTCCTTGATCCATTTTTTGCAATATTCTTTATCAGAAATTGAGATAGGTGATGTACGTGGAATAATTAAAACCACATCAGATTTTGCGTTTCCAAGACCATAACGTGTATCGTTCAATTTCTTTTTTTCCAAAACGCACAATTTGTCAAGTGATTTAGGAAGATCGAAGTTAGTTCCGTTAGTAACTGAAAAAGTTATTTCCAAATTGAATCACTTGTAACAGAATACAATCATTTGAGATGTATTACTATAAAATGTGCAAGCATACCATTATTTGTATAATTGTTTATATTGTATAAACCAAAGTCTAAAATACTGTTGGTAGTATTCAACATGATACTGCCATCATGACCATTAATAATTGTAAGTTGACTATTGTACTGATTTATGTCGATTTTATCCAATATGTTTCTATTAAGAAAAAAATAAAAAATCAGCTAAGTTTTATGACCGGCTTGTTATTAAAATAACAACGCAAAAACAAAATTATCAAAAATGATTAAAGACGAGTTAATAATAGAGGATGTTAATAATGAAGCATATATTTAATGTGTTTAGAACATTAAAATTTCGAGCGAAACTAGCAATTTATAATTTTTTGCAACTGAAAAAGATATTGTAATGTCGAAACTAGTTTCGCTTGAAATTTTAATGTTATAAACATATTAAATGTATGAATTCATTATTATTAACATTTTGTATTATTAATTCGTCTTTGGCCGTTTTTGATAATTTTATTTTTACGTTATTAAAATAAAAAATATTTTTATTTATTGAATTTATGTTTATATAAGATAGTTTTAGAGACGGAAAGTAATGCATTACTCGTAACACGATTATATTATTATGTTTTTATAATAATGATTTATGAAGTTACAATTTTTCATAATGATAACGATAATACTAAAGTTGAAATAATCACTTTTGAAAAAGTAATTTATTATTATTACGCGTTTCTTTCTTGAAGAAAGTAACTTGTTAAGTAGAGGTAAGTTACACAGTTCTAATGTGTTAGTGCTTATATCCCAAACAGTACATAGACATTCTCAGGATGGTTACTGAGGATGTTTTTCTGGATATCTCATTTCCTTCTCGGGACGTCCTAAAGACGTCCTGTAATATAGCAAATGAAAGGTCCTCAACATTCTTAGAATGTCCTTGGGACATCCTTAGGAGTTATATTTCATTCATATACACATATGCACATATGTACTAACATAGATACTAAATGTAGTGATTTAGAACCTGTATAGCTCATCTAACTTTGTTACGAAAAATTATCGAATTGTTCTTAGAAAAGGTAACTGTGTAAATGATAACGACGTGACAAAAAACGTTATTTACATGCGTAAAATATATTTACGTATAATTTGTACTTACGCAATAATTGATTGTATCTCGTCAAAAGACCACGTTATATCAATAATAATTGTCAGATCAACAGCAATTTGAATAACATCATCAAAATTTCCTGTTTCTATCTTATTACACGATAAATCGTTATCCATTGAATCTAAAATTTATACGCTTTACAAGTTTACTCTTTATTTTATCTCAAAATAAGTATTTATTTTGTAAAATGCTGAATACCTATTCACTCACCAACATAAAGAGCTAGCTGCTCTGTTGCTTGTGTTGCAAAATTTTTCATTTTATCGTCATTTATTGTAGCTTTATGTAAATATTCTTCCAAAACTAATGAAGCACTGAATGTCTAAGTGAAATGAACTGTTTTAATTTAAAAGGTTTGATTTATAATTTTTGAAAATTACTCATGCGTTTATTCGTGCTAGTGTGTTGTGTGTGTGATAAAATTATTTACTTTTTATCAAAAGTAATTAATTATTTAACAAAAAAATGTGCACAAAAATAAAGATAATTATTTCTCATAGTTTTATGGGTGCTACGATCCCAAATCTATGCTCTATTATGTTACAGATTTGAAAAATTTCCAGTCAAAGTTGCATAAAGGATTGTTTTAGTATATTTTGACATATCATAATCATGTGACAGATTAGAGAAATTTTGTTGTAACAAAAATTAAGTTTGTTACTTTCAGTTCTTAAAAGTAATTTATAGTGTTGATTTTATAGTACAAAAGTATTTATAATTAATATAGGATCTATTATGTCAAAGTTGTGACTTTACATATGCCATTAAGGCATATAAAATTCGTCGCATAATGAAAACAAAGAGATATTAAAATTAATATTACGATGTATTATTATCTAATATTTAGTAATAAAATAAATCAAAATACATATATAAATCATAAAATATATGTATAAAGTATATAAAATATAAATTATATTATACATATCAATAAAAATGAAAAATAAATGTTAATTTTTTTTTATAAAAGAAATTACTAATAATACAATTAAGTCACAAAAA